TCACCTGTGTTCATATTTGTGGTTTAAATTCTTGCAAAATTGAAATTCAGAAATCTGTTATCTTGTGCCCCGTTATTATATATATTGATATAAGACATCACCAATAACAATCACACTACAGTATCAGTGCATCGCAGATCTGTTCAGGGAGTCAGCTGTAACTCTCGGGAGCCTCTGGCAAAGAGAAGGATGATGGCTTAACTACTGGCCAATCCTTCCCATACCTACATGTCTTATGTAGGTATGCCCACTCAGGTGTGCCCACCGACAACAGTTGGTTTTCTACAAATTTCTACTGGAAATGCTGGATTTTAAGTAAGGGATAATCAATGAGTAGTGTATTTTGCACAGCAATCCTCTTCACGTCAGGTGTTTCTTCGCTTTCACATCGTGCCTTAAAACCGTTTAACGCACACCTACAAGTTGATCATCCTGCTTATACCATGGTCATTTGCTATTTTTGGTTAAAGTTTTGCACTCAAAATTAAAAGGTTATAAAGCGAAAGCTTACGGTTGTCATGACAAGGAATAATTCTAGTCCCTTTTACAACCAAACAGTCACATATGCTTTTTTTTTTTTTAACTACAAGTCAAGGTTCCAGTGGCTTTAAGCTGTAGCAGAGAAGAAGGAGCAGCCGGAAATGTGATGCCACTAAGCATCTCCGTGACTTGTAGTTACATTTCTGTGGAGGCGCAGGCTTTGACAGCTGTGCTCTTTAATGTTGATACCACGGCCTGTCGTGAGCTACTGCTTAATTAACACACACCTGTCGGCCAATCAGAAAAGAGTACTCACCCAGACCATGGAATAATGCAGATTAAGAGGTAGACTGAATATGTCATAGTAGCACCACAATGAAAATCTGCATGAAATAATAATACACCAAACAGACTTGCGTTTGCTGTTAACTTGTGTTTTAGTAACAAAATTGTGCCACACAGCTCAAATGGAATGTCCTTGAAAATTACAGGTCGCCACAAACTTGGCTAGCTTTCAAATGAATGCATCTGGACAGCAGTCAGTTAACATACTTGACTAGAGAATGTTCAGAGAAAAATGTATTGGGCTCGCTAGCAACATGATAATAGCAGGTTGTGCTCCAAACTACAACCAAGAACTTTGGCTATATAAAAAGAAAGAAGGGCACAAACAAATTTAACATTAGCCTATACATACATATATATACTTCACACAGGTATACTTCAACAAATAGCTATCGTGAGTCCTGAGAACAAGCCTTTCTCTTTAAGGCAGTGATCCGATTTCTGACATAATCTTTCACTCCAGTCCAGATTCGGTCTTTGAGCGCATAGGGTTCTGCATTGATACACCGAATGCAGTCGATCTTTTGAGGTACCTTGCATGTGTGGATGAAGCGCATCATGTGTCTTTCAACTGCGCGTACCTCACTGTCTTCCCACTTACGTTTGGAGTTACCTCTGTTGTCTGTGAAGAAAAGATAGAGGTGTTGTCAATATCTCATTACTAAAAGCATTTTTTGCAGTCCATCCAAAACAGCATTCACAACCTCTGCTTTCTTTTAGTACTACTGTTCAAAGTGCAAGGACAACACCGAGGTAAATTGATCAATAATGGATCAATAACCATGAATGCTAGATGTCGCTACAAAGGTTTTTAATTATTCAAACACAATCCCAAATAGGCATCACAGTTAAATTTGTTAAAAAAAAAAAAAGCAGACTCCCTGCTCCACCGACATTAGCCGCAGAAAGTACTGCCTTTTTGGGAGCAGAGCTCAGGTCCTGATGATGTCATATACTGTATAGACATGAACAGAAAGAAAAATCTTCACGATATCTACCAATAGCTCTTAGAGGGTTACGCCTTTATTCATAGAATCTGGAGTTACAATACGTAACGTTTTAAGCACTTTTCAAAGTGTTACAGTGTTACTACTTAAACTTAAGATTCTTCTCCAAACTCACTTGTTAGCTGCATTTGTTAACACTTTTTAATCAGAGATTTTAGTATCAAACAACTTTTTAACAGAATTTTAACCTTTAGATTGAAGACAAATCACTTTAATGTCACTTTTGAGATCTTCAGCTGTACACAAATACACAAACTGATAAAAGTCACCTGTGGGTGCATAACTTTCCCATTAGTGACAAGAGTCATTAAATGTTATTATCTGCATGCACTTTAAGCTATGTTTAGTAAGGAGAGCATGTTCTAATGTGAATATGAAGTTCAGCCTTTGATCGTAACATAACGCTGCTCAACAGAGACTGCAGTGCAGATTCTGCCATAATGCCCTTCTTTAGGCTATCACTGGACACATTGCTGTCACTATGTAAAGACAAATAATTAATCCTATTAATCCTAATCTGTCATATTAGTAGGTATGGGTATCGTTAGGATTTTATTGATACCAATATCAGTAATACTTATTGACACCGATACTTATCAATATTTTTATTGATACTACTCTCCATAATTTGGAGCAATTATTTTATTAAAACTTTTTCAGAAATAAGTTAAATTGTTTCCTGAATTTCCTGTATATGAGAGATGAGCAATTGCTACATTGCTGTCTGTTTTGGCTGGTGTCATTTTCTCTCATCTTGCGATGGAGAATGGGTTGGACTTGGGGACTTCTGCTATCCACTGATGAATGGGATTATTTAGAAACATAAATTAGAAGTTCTTAAAACTGATGCTAACTACACTGACAGACAAGTTGTCTGTTGCAGTGGACAGACACATTTATGTTATAGGTAGGTAGCAAGACCGGCAGCGAAGCATGGTAAACAGTGGTAATGTCTGGGCTTGTTAGATTTATGGAGGGTCCCTCGCTTGTCCCCCGACTCTGGCTGCTTAAAGTAGAGAGTGTGAGTTTAGGGAGCAGCGGCGCTGTTTCTCAATACCCATCCCTACATATTACTGATCAGTAATTAGTGATTAGTATGTTTTTAGTATTGCCATTTATCATTAAATAGCCTAAGTCGAAAAAGGAAGCTCTGAATATGTGCATTTATTTTTACCACAATTCAAAACCTTATCCACAGTGCCAGAGTGGCTGGGATGGTTTGGCTGCAAAATTACTTGAAGGGCTCAGTATTCAGCTGTAAGACAAGGTTTATTAGGTTAGGTTTATATTGCAGATACTAACTTTCTTCCGTTAAAAAAAGATCTAACCCAAGCAAAAACAAACCTTGATTGAGAAGAGCACTGGGAGGAGTGGAACTGGTAGCAGTGGTCGGAAGTAAAAGTGTAGTCTCTGGTGGCTCCTGGCCGTCTTCACCTGTTGCCTCAGTGGTCGACTCAACAGACTCATCCTCATCACTGACGTGTCCTGATCTTGTGTGGAATCAACTTTTTCTGAGGAGAAAATGTAAGAGAATATTTTTTTAAAATATGGCATAGCCTCAGCAGTTGTAGCCTTAAGATGAAAAACCAAAAGTAAATTCTGAATGTATTGCCCACATTATTGCAGTTGCACATTAAATCAAAATAATTTAGTATAGTGTAATGTTATACATCAATTGAACATACATGTACGCAACATCTAAGGAGAAAGTAATCCATATTTGACCTGATAGACTACATTTGCATTCTTCCAATTTGAAAAAGATTGATATGGTTCTTAATTTCTAGACTTCAATTACCAAATACAGCATAAACATTACCTTACTGTTAAAGAGTACTGATGATGCATTTCTCATGAGGCAATAACCATGGGTTGCCCCAGCATCAGAGCTAAATATATTATACTAATATACACTAAGACAGATGTATCCATACCTTCGGGGTCAATCTCAATATCATCGAGGGTTTGCCCTTTATACTGTGATAGAGTCCCCTTCTCCACTGCCAAAAGCATTTTGCTCATTTTGGCGAGCTGAAGTGTTCCCTGCGGAAGGCGGTAATACTGCCTGTGCACACGAATGTCATGACCCAGAAAGTCAGCAAGTTGGTCTGCTTCATTTTCTTGAAGATTAAGAATTTGAGACATCGTTGCTATGTGCTTCCGGAGCCTTGTTGAGGTCAAGACCTCGGGATGTTTGGCACCACTCTCCCTTGCAAACGTTTGGATGCATTCTCCCCCTCTGTAAGCTGATGATACTCCTGGTCTAGCAAACATGTAGATGTTCTCTTTGGAGACTCCACACTGCTCACGAGTGTCAGCTAGAAGCTCCATAGCTGACACCATTGATGGTTTTAGGAGCACAGGGACTCCTCTTCCTCGTTTCCCCCTGATTTCTACTCTGGTGAAGAAATCACACATCTTGTTCTCAAGTGGGGTAAGACATAGGGCCATGTCCTCATTGAGTTCTGACTTTCTCCTTGCTTTGAAAGTGACCAACTCCATTCTTGACACCTCTCCTTCTCTTCTTCTGTTGAAAATGATCAGCTGAGCAAGTGTCACTTTGGCAAGTGTTGCATAGTTCTTTGCAGAGGGACACAGTCTCAGCATTCTTTCAGCAACAACTTTAACATTCTCCATGTGAGCGTCTAAAAGTTTGACATCTTCAGTGAGAGGTATAATCTGTGGTGCATTCCACTTTGACTCTCTCAGAGAGGTTGTTGCTCCTCTGGTAATCAATCCCATCCATCTGAATTGTTTAATGGTCTTGAATTCTCGAGCAAATTCTACAAGGCTCCAGTCTCTGTCAACTGTGGACAAATTATCACTCTCTACAAGCTCACAGATTATACCCAGGCTGTTACCAATTTTGAGGGCTAAGGAAGGTGTGCAGAATGCGTTGTTCTCTGCATTGTACCCAGCCAACTCTTTCACTGCAGATATCACATGATTGAAGTTTGCAGGATAGATGAGTTCCTCTGCCTTCTGGATGGGAGTATTCTTCTTAGCCACAAGTAATAGTCGTCCAAGTTCTCTAAGTCTTTGCCTTATATAGTCATGTCTGTTCTTTCTTGACCCATTTAGATCAAACAGGTGTTGTCCAAACTGCAAGAGAAGTTTGTCATTTTGAATCAGCTGAGTGACCTCATCATAGGTCATGGAGGAAATCAC